TCTGTGCCTTTTTCTGTTAACCCAGTTTATTAAGATAATTTTGTTTATGAGTGATTTTATTGTATCTTGACCTTTTGTTTTAAGTGTCTTCTCCCCCCCCTCCCCGTGAATTTTGGGTTATTTTTTGTCTTTTTCGTAGGCGACCTCCGCCAGCTGTTCCGGGAAGATCATCCTAACACGCGCATGTCTTTTTTGTTACATGCAAACTGTCTTTATTTTTTTGTTGTCCAAAATTATCTTTAATTTGCACTAGCCTATTTGTAAATGAAAGATTTTATTTTCAGATGTTAATGATAAGCCTGGATATAAAGAAAATAAAAATTCTGACTAGAAAACGAATGTGTGCTGGTTTTCTATTGAAGAGTCTACCCACTCTTTCTCAAACGGAGCCATTCAGACCCCACGGAAGAAATTGCCTGGGCTCTGTGGAGACTCCCACCTGCCGAGGTGGTGGACAAAGGGACCTTCTGCTGGGATTCCACCACTGCTGCTGAATTCATTAACTACCAGGATTGCTCCTTATAGATGGCTTTGGCTTAGCATTCGCAGAAAGAATAGCCAGCTTCTTTAACAACAAAGGAGTCCTAAAACGCATCTAACGCGCTAGAGGCAGCACCTGGCTGAGTGGAAAGTCAAAGGAGAAGATTGTAGCCGTCTCTAGACTGACGAATCTGCACAATTATGAGCTGACCTCATTGGAGCATCTGAGCTCAAATAGCTGTAAGTAGCTACCTCTGAGATTCCAAATGTGTCTGCCCCTGTAGGAAAGGTAAAATCTGGGATTATTTAGAAGATGTGCTTGATTTGGGTGCCAGAGAAGTATATAAAGTCTAAAAAAAAGGGAAAACTGATGGGTTTTATTGACTTTTTTCCTCATATGAAAACAAAGAAGGGGTATCTCACAAACCACGCAGATAGATTAGAAGGCACTGCATGGATAGGAACTGGAGGCACAACGCAGTTATCAGGACTCCAGCCTGTTGTTTCAGCAGCACAAACAAGACATTTCTTTGTAGTAGGAAGTTCGGGGTGAGAGGGAGCTGCAGCGGGATGGAGGCAGGAGAGCGGAGGGTATCGGTATAGTGTGTGTAGAAGGGGCCTGACAACACACAGGCTGCGCTCGGTTTCAAGCCAGGTCTGACACAGCTTTGCTGAATTTGGGCAATTCCTCTTGTTCCAGATGATTTAGTTCC